CCGCCCACCCGCCACATGCCCCCCATCCCACAGCTAGATTCCCAACAGCTCGTCAATGAAACCCACAGCATCCCTCAAAGGTCCAGCATCAGGAGCCCTTATGAGGCGGAACCCCCCACCTGCCGTGGCACTGCCTCACGCAGTCCGCAGATTATAGGAAAAGCCCCCAAACACCTCAGGCTGTTGCTGGACCTCAGGGGCATGTTTGGGGCGAAACCAGTGCTTCAGTTTGCATTCCTCACACTGGTGTTTTCCCATTTCTAAAGCTGGGGGCACCGCAACCCAGCCACCAGCTTTTGAGATCGCTGTCTCCTGGATCACCCCCCCCCCCCAGACTTGGGCTTTTCTGTATTTTTAAAGCTCAGCCCCCACCCCCCACATTGGTGTTGCCCCCACAAGTCCCTGGCTGCTCTGGCCCCCTCACCACTGCGGCTGCTGCCCGAACCGCACCCTCCCCCCCAGTGTCAGATGCTGCACTCCTCACTGTGTACCAGCCTGGGGGGGGGGGTGTTGTGTGGAGGATCAAAGGGACTTGTAAGCAAAGCTGGAGAGTGGGGGGGGGGGGCAGTGGACCTCGCTTCGCACACACATGCTCATGTACACACACACGCACATATGCACGCTCTCATGTACAGGCATACACACACTCATGCACATACACACGCACATATGCGCTCATGCACACGCGCATACATTCACGCAGGCGCTCATGCACACGCGCAGCACGCCTTGCCGACAGCCTGCAGCTTCAATAATTAATCAGCAGTCTGATGGTGTTTTCCTCTCCACTCATCAGAAGCTACATTTCCATATCAGAGGAGAATGTGTGCCGCACACTCATTGTCTGTGCTTGTGTGTGTGTGTGTGTGTGTGTGTGTGTGTGTGTGTGTGTGGACTGGGTTTATATTACATTGTAAGGACCAAATGTCCCCCACAATGTAATAATTTTTTCACATTATGGGGACCATTTTTCAGGTCCCCACAAAGATCTCTGAATGCAATCAAAAAAGTAAAAATGCTTGAAGTCTTGTATTTTGTTGGGTTACTTATAGTTAAGGTTAGGGCTGGGTAGGGGTTAAAGTCGTCATGTTGTGATTAGAGTTTTCCAGATAGAAATGAATGGAGAGTCCCCACAAAGATATAATTACAAACCTGTGTGTTTGTGTGTGTGTGTGTCCTCTGTGTGCCGTACTTGGAAGGCCTCCCAGCTCTGGAGAACCTCGGCGTTCCTCCCCCCGACCCGTCATTCACTTGCGAGCCCCGTCTTGGCGCACACAGGCACGCACACACACATTTATCACTCGCTCACAGCTTCCCCCAGCCCCTCTAATTGCCCGGACCTGACGGCGCTGCTCAGGATTATAAATAATGCTGTTTGCTTCTCAATTAACTCCCCGATTTATTACGTTCCTTCTGCGCCGGCTGCTCTGTATGATAATGCTTTAAAGAGGCAGGCTCTGCATCTGGGCGCAGGCTGCGCACGGCGCTGACCTCCCGGGGCGGGGCGGCGTGGGGGGGGCGGGGGACTTGGGGGGGAAGACCTGTTTTATATTTCTGTCACAGAGCGGGGGCCGCAGCGGCGGTTTAGGCTCGCGCCGGATTCCGCTCGTTTCACACGCGGTTAGCTGTCTCATGAGACGTGCTCGCTCGGGAGGAAAACGATAACAGACGCGGAGCGAGAGCCGCAGCATGAGGCCACGGACTCGCAGGGGGGGGGGGTCGGGCCACAGCGATCTGGCCCCGTGGTGGGGGTATCACCTCATGGCTGACCCATTCCTAACACAAACACGCTGTGCAGCAAATCGGCTCACCAGCAGCTGTGGGGTAAAGGAGCAGAAAAGGGTCATGTTTTTAGGGGTGTGTTTGCGTCATATTGATGTGGGGGGGGGGACGGCAAATAAGACTGCATAAATGAATTAGGGGAACAAAAAATGTTACCATGATTCAGTTATTGTCTGAATTGTTAATTAAAACGTATAAAGAAACTTTGAGCCCCCACCCCCCAATCATCCTGGTGGACAATCCCCAGAACTCCCACCTGGTTGTGAAGGTGTCACTATGACCTCCCAGCCTCAAGAGAGGGATACTTATCTATTTGTCTCCCTCCCAGGTTTTTGCAGAGAAAACAGAACCCCCCCCACCACCCCTTCCTGACTACCCCATGGGACGTTATCTGATCCTGTCTATCTTTGCCTTGCAGGAAGCTGTACCGTCACCCTGGATGATGGGGGTGGGGGGGATGCCCCCAGAAAAACTAGCATACACCACTGTTCTCTGCCCCCCCCCTCCACTCCCCAGTCCCCCGTCTCCCACCTGTCACTGATTCTCCCGCACCGTTCCTTCTCCTGCAGCTTGCTTTTTGGGCTGAACTACAGAGACAAAAGCACCGGGGTAACGCTCCAGTCTGCACGCCCCCCCCCCCCCACTTTCCATGAAAGCGCATGCAGTACGATCCTTAAAAGGTGTCCTCGTTATCATCCGTAGAGCATTAATACCTTGTGTTTTAGTAGCCGCTGTCTTTTCTGCAGCCCTGATTTTACAGACCTGACCACCCTGTATGTAACTGTGCAGCCAATCATATGTGCTTGTCTGTGCCGCTGGAGGTCCATGTCAGTCCGCGCCTGGACACCCCTGGCGCCCTGAACGCTCTCGTTGGGTTCAGTGCTCTCCGGCATTCTTACCCTGAGCCTCCCGTACCCCCCTGTGTATTTATTTACTGATCCCGTTTGTTTGAGGTTCGGGATTCAGTCGTGCCCTTCGTATTTCCTGTTCCCCTGCTGCCGGTGATCAGGAATCCCGTGTTGGGAGGACTGGGAGGTGTCACACGTTGTCGTATTTCCTCTGCACATGCGGCACAACCTCACGCAGTTTAGGCCCCAGCTACCAGACCCTGCACTATCACAACATGCCAGTAGAATGTCACTCCCTCCCTGGAGGAGTACACTGCCCGTATTGCCAGACCCTCCCTAATGTACGCTTTCAGTAAAATAGCACATTCTGTCCAATATACAGGGCCTTCTTATGACTGCATCGTTGCAGTCTAATGAATCAGTTGAGTCATAAAGGCTAAGTGTTAGAGACCCTGCAGGAAACCTGAGTTCCTCCCTGAGCATCAAAGGTGACCCTGAGACGGCCCAGGCTATCATCATCACCACCCAGCACCAGAGAGCTAAGGGGAGCCAGGGTAGGTTTTTCGTGCCTCAGAGCCCTTAGCTTTGCAGGGAAGGGATGGGCAGCACTCTGCAGCTCCTACCGTTGTAGTGATGGACGCTGATGCCTGTCATGCTGAACCAGAAAGCCTCAGGGATGTAATTTCTGCACGCCGGGCGCTCCATCATAAACGGGAACTACTCAACATCCCCCCAGCCGGTGTGACACAGACAGAGCTGTTTCCAGCTCCCAAAAGCGAACACGAGGATGTCACTTTCAGTACACACAGCTGCGTGGGGGGCGACCGTGACCGTGCCTTCTGATTGGTTGAGCGGGCTGACTGTGTAGTCCCCTCCGGAGAGGCTAGCGTCCTCCCAAACAGAGGCCGCTCCGGAATCCTGTACAGACTCGGTAAAGCTGTGGGGGACGATGCGTTGGGGCCCACGACTTGTGCTACTGAAAGACGAGAGTGAGTGTGCGTCTAGGGGACCCCTGAAAGTGAAAGATAAAAGAGCAGGATACCGTAGGGACTTAGATGCCATTGGTATTCTTGAATTGTGAACCACACGGCCTTGCAGCATTCCTGCCGAGGTCCACACACCAGGGTCGAGAGAGATCCCCGGATTGACAGGATGTAACATGTAGGACATACTGGAGGCCTGGGAGCAGAGGAGGAGAACACTGAAGTCAACGACAACTATTTACAACTGTGATGGGTATAACTAAGGCTGGGGGGACTTATAAAACCATACTTTGTATCGCTGTGTAAGTGGTTATCGCCTTGTTTTAAAGTCGTCACGTAAAGTCAGTAGTTGGTCCTTATTACCGCCAGTATAGAAATATGTAGAGGAGTAGATCTCACAGTCCAACGGTGAATAACTTTATATTAAAAAAAAAAAAAAAACTTTATATGAAAACCTTTTTAAAAACAGCACCAGCTAGCATGCCACCTGTGTTGATATTGTAAAGGACTGTGATCTCTGTATTAATAAATGATCATTACCAATTTTCTGTTGGTCTATTCTCTTCTTGTGTTCTGTGTCTGAAAAATTAACTGGGAGGGATTACAGCATCTTTCATATGCAAGCGAACGTTATATTATTGAATTAAATCCTGGTGTACTTGAGGTTTATAATTTAGGTGGTCTGGAAAACGATTCGGCAGATTTTACTCCAATACAAACAGGAG